TTCATGTGCCATTTCAAACTCTCCAAGGTAAAAACACATTGAAAATATCTTCCTGTTGGCTTCCTTATGTGCTGTCTCGTCTGTCTTCCAATGTGTCTTTCCCCTAACATGTAACAGGGAGATCTCCATCTTGCTTTGTCTCTGCTTTCCAATGACTGACTGCAACATCTAATGCTCATGTTTGTTTGTTTGTTCAAGGAAAATGCTTTAGCTGGAGAGAGGACCACGTGGCTTGGATTGCCACTCTGCATTTCTTCTCTGACACGGGGAGGTGAGCAGCAGGTCTGTGGATCCTGAGAGACCTTAGTGCAGGAGGTGCCATCTGCCAAATGCTGTCCTAGGTGGTGTTTCATTGAGTGGGCTAAAAAGAACATTCAGTACATGGCAGCCGAAGTCCATCACAGCTATCACAAGAGCATGTGCAGACAGCCTGGAGTGGAGGTGGATTCTGGCTCTGGAGGGAGGCTGGGCAAGAGGCCAATAAGCCTTTCTTATTTGCCCGTGTTTTCCTTTAGGGAAAGGAAGGCTTAGTGAGGCTGAAGATGGCTTTGGGGATGAGGATGGCACCAGGAAGCACTGGCATTCATTCATCCCAGGTACAGCTCACCCACACAAGTTTTAACACCAGTAATCGATTTAGTCAGGACTTTGTGGTCACTCTTGGTTCTTTTGAGGTTCCTGGCAAAAGTCCTGTTGGCTTAAAAGCAACATTTCTCCTGTGCTGCTTTTGCAACAGCAAACAGGCTTCCTCAAATGGGGAAAAAGAGGAGAAAAGTTATCCATCCTCTATTTACCCTTGTCCTTCTGCCCCATCACCCTCCTACCCTTACCCATCCTTCCTCACCTGGCTCTCATACCTGCAAGAAGATTTCTGCTCTAGGATTAGGTTGCTATTGCAGCCGTGGAGGCAGGTTGACTGTAGGATCACTTGGGCTGTGCCCCTTGCCTCTGAGGAGGGCAAAGCTGCTGAGGTCCACGTTCTTCCTGGTGATTTCATACGATAGCTAATTAATGGCCTCCCCACGTTTCCATGGCAACTGCATGCTCTGCTCTTAGCCCTGATCCAAATGGGCATTCTGTACACTTCTGAAGCTTTAGCATCAGCATATTAATAAGACTTGCTGACGTCCTTTGCTTTCTGCCACATTGACTGGTAAGTCTAAATTTGAATAATTGAAAAAAGCACATTTCTAAGCAAGCTCTAAGCACATTCTCGCATATGACTTGAAACAACTGGTCCCAGAAGTCTTCTCCTACATTTGGAGAGAGGAGACAGAAAAGAGTCCTGCTCTACCAGGTGTTCTGGGAAAGCTTACATCTGCTTTTGTGATTTCCCTGGGTTATTTGATGGCTCCAGCTTTCATGCAATTCCCAATTTAATTGCAACAAGGGCCAAGTATCTGCCATGATTTGGAAGGATCGTCTCTGCATTAACTGGACTGGACAGTCTCATGGTTTTCTCCCTCTTCTACAAGGTAAAGGAACTGTGCTTCATTCTTCTATGGTCAGGCAATGGTTACTCATATCTCAAAGGTCACGACAAGTATGAAGGTCCCTTTTAACATTAAACTGGATAACAATACCCATTATGCAATTTAGTGCTTCTAGTTTTATTGGTGAAAGATTTCTCTGGGGCTCCTAAAATTATTTCTCAGTTACCCTCCATTCTAATCACTCTCTTGTAATTTTTTTTTTCAAACAAGTGGAAGACTTGGAAATAATTCCCCCAGAAGCTGATTAACATTGCTACAGCATTGATGTGAACTCTTTCAGGGAATTTGGACTACTTTCTGTTATCCCAGCAAAAGTATACAGTATATCTATGAATCTTCTGCTGACTGCAGAGCAAATATCCTAAAACAAATTAGTGTCTTCAAGTTCTCGGCCCGAGTGCCATAGCTATCCCTTGAATGATGAAAGAAGGCTTACAAGACTGAGCCATGGAAGCAGAGCCCATGGCCTCCGTGCAGTATCGTGAACACTTCACATGGGAAAGGCAGGATATGACACTTTTCTTGCTGGATCTGCCCATTTCTTTTGTAGTGGAATGCAGCGCAGTCCAGGCCACATTTGAATTCATTGTTTGGTTTTGTTTTTACTTTTTCTCTCTGAACCCAAAAAGCTGGCTGAGCTGTCAGTTAACTTCCTTTTCCCTTACACTAAAGAACAAGAGACTTGATCCATGACATTCTGTCTTCACTCCAGCATACAATAACATCCAGCCACACTGCAGTATTGCCACACAACTGTGCTGCACAGAGACTCAACATCACCCTGTTGCAACATCAGGAGCTCCCAGTCAGGTTTTTATGCTATCAAGTATCTCTATTAAACTGCCTTCCATCTCTCCTGACTGATCTCAATTAGTTTTCTTCATTGTATCTTCACTTCTCCAAACCATGGTTGAAACAGTAGCTCATGTCAGCCATTGCTGTCTACCATTGCTTGGATCTTGACTGAACGGGTTCTCTGGGCTCCCAAAGTCTTGCTAAATCTCCCAGTGTTGCCCCCTTTGCTGCTGAAGCCCTATATGATGAGACCTACAGATTCTGATAATCCTAAAATCTTACTAAATACCTATGAGAGCAATCAATGGGATCCCTAACAATCCCTACAAATACAGGGCAAGACTAATAACACAACAATGTGTTATTAGTGGCCCAGGAGATGTGAGATTTAATTGCAGCTTCAGTGGTGCTACTGACTAGAGCTGGTTACTTCTCCTAGGAAAGCAATTCATCAAGTGAATTTCATTTTGTGTTAGTACACTCACTGTCTCAGTCATAAGGAGATCACATCATTGAAAGCAGGAAGCATCTCAGGCTATATGTTCTTCAAAAGCAATGTGCAGTATTTTTAGAGCAATAGTTATATTTCTTTTCAATGTCAGCTCTTTGGGTAATACATGTAAATTAAACAGTACATTTCCATTCCTTGCTTGGATGAGTGTTACTGTCAGGAACATCATTTCCACTTATAATTATAAATTTGACATTCATTTCAAATGAATACTCTCTGCTATTTGCTTAAAACTAACTGCTATGCATACTGTTGCTGGGGAATTTTCTCTTATCAGAAAGCTGACATGGAAAGGTGGCAACTATAAAGCAATCTGTTTGGATGACAGGGTCTATGAACATGAACCTCTATTGCATAGGCAAAGACCCAGTCAAACAAAAAACAAAGAGATGAGCAAACTAGAAGAATTAGTCAATTCACGACTTCATACATATCTGTCCAATAAGGATAAAGAGAGATCTCAGTTAGGGAAAACACAGAGTAAAAGTGGCTGCAGACTGACGTGGATGGATGTCCATAAAAATACATTTGTTGTTGATTTCACTACTTTTCTCAGACATACACATTTCCCCTCATTTGAATGGATAGACTGGGACTCAGCTGTGTTTCTGTGACTATGGACTCTTTTGCTTTTCTTAGTAACTATCCAGACAGTTTCTCCTACAGCTTCCATTGCTGATTTAACAAGAGAGTTCAGTAAATGTACATTTTTATTATAGTATTCAATTTCTTCCTGGCTTTGATGACCATTAAGCAAAACCTCAGGAATTAAATTAAACCTGAAGCCGGACTTAATTGCCCTTTTCCCTGGTGCCACATGAATAACAGCACAATACATGTATCTGTTTCCAGAAGAACTGATGTTATTTTCAGAATCTGAGCCAAAGTCTCTAAACAAGAGACAGCAAAACTTGTATGAGACTATCAAGCTAACATGTTAAATCTCAAGTCAGATCTGGACCTTGGGCTTTTAGTCAGGGCCATTCCTCCTGCCCAGACCTGACTTTCTCCAAGATACTTCTCCAGCTCTGGAAGTGGGTAAGATTAAATATTTACTTCTCCCATTTTGTAGGGGAGAAGTTCTAGTTGCACTAGCAATTTTCACAAAGGATTTTAACTAAAACAAAATGAAATGGAGAGAAACACCCCACTCCTCCCACTGTTCAGGCTTTATCATCCAGCTCAGCTGATCCTACATTTATACACTCCATCATATATATACAATTTTTAAAGCCACACACACACACACACCATTCACACACACACGTATTTCAAAATGTTACATAATTTTTTGATAACCCATTTTAATTTGGTTTCTAAATTCAGGGTAGATTTGGTTATTTTGTTTTTTTCACCCTTTTGATAATCTTGCAGTTATTTGGATAAATGTACTCATTTGTTATATGTATTTTCTTTGTGGATAAAGAATTTGCAAATGATGCATTATTCACTGCCAAGGAAACGAAGTAGTAATAATGATTTTTTCCTTCTTTAAAGAGCTAAAATGACATGTGTACCCTTCAACTCTACAGCTTTCCTTGGGCATGTGTTTTCTTGCATTGTGCTTTGGTTTTAGTGGCGATGAGGGATTTTCAATGTTAACGGAAACCCCTGAACCAAAAACAAAGGTTTGCTTTTAAGTCTAGGTTTTCCAAAGTGGCAGATGATTTTGGTTGTCTCAGTTTTGGGGACTCCACTTGAGACACCTTGAAGAGAAGAGACTTAGGAGGATTTACAGGCACTGATCCCTAAGGGGTTAAATTGCATTGCTGAAGGCAGTGGCTGACTGATCCCGTGCATTAAATGGAGCCCAAATTTCCCAGAGAACTTGCTCCCTGGCCTGCACCCCTGCTGTGGGCACTTGACATGTCCCACTCTTCAGTAAGAGATGAGGCTCTGCCTTCGGTGAAAAGTCTTCTGAGGTGGAAACCCCAAGTGGAGAAACCTCCCATCTTCGCCCTCCCTCTGCCCTCTATGTGTCTTCTCCTTGATAAGGCATATATTTTACTCTCAAAGGACTGCTGTTGCCTTCTCTCCTCCAGCAAAGCTCAGCACAGGCTGGGTGAATAACTCAACATAAAGCTGGCATAAATCTCAACAGAAGAAATATGTTTTATCTTTGACCATTTACTCCCACCAGGAATAATGGCAGTTCTTGTACATTTACATATAACTTTTGTGTTTGCTTTGATTTTTGTTGGTTTGTTTGTTTCTTTGACTTGGCACCTGCATAGCAGAAATCTTTACAGTTCAGTACAGAAATTTGCCCCTCTCTCTATTCCTCCCTTTAGTTACTTCTGCTGCCCCTAAGCCTAGCAAGCAACACCCTCAAGGTCAAGAGAGAGTAAGGTGTTACCCTTTTATGATGGATTATAGAAATAACAAACATGCCTGACAGTTTTATACAGCTGCTAGAACGGGTTTAGTTTTCAACAAATGAAGAATTTCCTCTTTTTTTCCTCTTTTGTATATTAATTACATTTTACAAATTTTGCTTTTCCCCTTTCTTTTCTTTTTTCCCCCTTTTCTCTCTTTCTTTTTAATTTTTTCTCTTTTTTTTCTCTTTTATTTTTTTACAGCAAAAGGATCAGTCACCAATGTGTCCACTGAAAAGTCTGGGTTAGCAGAGTTTGGCTGTCATCTGGTCCGACTGTTTGAGGATCTCGGTGTTGTACAGGTCTAGAGCATGGTTCACACGGATGATCTCGCTGTTGGTGAGTTTCAGGCGGTGCTTGAGCATACAAGAGAAGAGATCCAGCTGGGGCTTCCCCGGAGCCACGGGAGGCGCCAGTCTATTGATTCGGTCCCGAATATCCAGCAGCAAGAGCATGACGGAGGAGGAAGAATAGAACTGCCCGCCTTGCGTGTACGACTGGTTGACCTGCTGCACAGCACTGCGCAGGAGGTCGGCGTTAAAACGTAGGCTGTAGCCATACACCTGCACATCCGAGATCTTGATGTAGAACTGACGCTTGGTGGGATCAGAAAGGTCCACGGGCCCTTGGCCAGTCTCGTTACGCAGCAGGGAAGGCAGCCGAGTCCGGCTCCGTAGGTAGATGTGGACTGTCTCGAAAAAGGTTTTCCACCGGTTGCCCAATAGCAGGGTCCAGTTGTAGCACTGGCTGTTTTGGAGGCGGATTTTCTCCCAGCGAGGGTAGCCATACTCCCCAAAGGGCATGTTCCAGCCCTCGGAGTGGCTCCCGCTGAATGGGTTGACATAGACAAAGAACATAGGGTCCAGGCTGCTGTTGCGCATCTGGCAGATTCGCATGGAGATCCCGATCACCATGTGGATGAAGTCCATCCGGTTCTTGTTGCTTTTCAAGGTGAGGGACATGCGTTTGCGCCACCTGGGGTCGAAGAAGGTGTCCAAGCGGATCTCATTGCTGATGAAGGTAGTATGCACATACAGGCGAGAGTCCATTTTCTGCAGCAGGTACTTCAGCTCTAGGTCCTGGAAGTCCAAGTCCGTTTCAAAGCTGATGAACTGTTCACTCCGCTCCGAGTCTACGTTTTGAGGCTCGCAACGACCCCGGTAAAGCTTATAGCCCTTGTTGCATGAGCCGCAGAGAGAAATGTTGGCAAGGCTGCACATGGCACAGCTGTTGTTGCCCCCGATGATGCAGGGGATGGGACGCTGGCACAGGCTGGTGCCACCATGGCACACGCAGCTCCGTTGGCTTTCCAGAAAGGTCCCCCAGAACCCATTCTCATTGCAGTAGAGCAGGGATTGGACCCGGGTAAGCCATTCCTGTATTGTCCTGCAAGTGGAAAGAGGAAAGCATTAGTGTCATGTAGCCTCACAGGTTCTTCAATGTAGACATCAAATTATGGCCATGCTGTTTTCAGGGATGGCTCTGAGGCAGAGCTCTCAGAACATTCATATCTGCTGGTATCTGTGAATTATTCCAGTCTATTTCTAGAGTTTATTTTACATCAACTGTTCACTCCTTCAGTGGAAAACGAAAACCCTCTAAGAAGCAGTTAAGAGGTAGGGATTGATCATCTCAGTTCTCTCTCTTCACCCTGTTTTTTTGTGTGGGGGAAGAAAGTTCAGCTATGGGGATAGAGCAGGGAATGGAGTTGACAAAGCCATGCCAGAGGATGAAGCGCCATCAGATAATGCAGGTCAGCACAGCTGCTAGGCTGAGGCTAGGCAGCAGCTCCCCTCCATGTCGTTGGCCATTCCTCCACCCACCAAAAAGTTTGAAATGGATTGGAACAAAACCAGAAGTAACTGCTGCTCACAGCACAGGGAGCAATAAAAGCAGAAAAGACCACAGAAGCCATGGTGCACAGAGATGAAGCTGCTCGAATGGCTTCTCCTTTAAAGAAACTGCTGTTAATTAACCTCCTTTTTCAGCCTCTCCCCTTAACAAGCAGCCACACTTGCCGTTCCCAGGCCCCACCACTCCCATAATTGCTATTTCAGTGCGTCACCTCCACATTCTGCAGCCTCGAACCAACTCCTAACGAATGACACCACAGCCCACGTATGGGTTTTGTATAACCCCCTTGCTGGGGCGCATTTCTGCCGCCCTCCCCCTTCTCCCTACCCCGCAGGAAATCTCAGCACAGCGGTTCCTTTCTCAGCAGTGCTCACCAGAACGCCTTGTTCAGCAGCCCCGCTCCCTCCCCTCCGCCTTTCCCCCCCAGCTAATGAATACTTCATTGTCTCCTCTGGGCAAGAAGTTCTCCGTAGCACTGCAGTGAGAGGACTGGCTAATGACAAATTAGGATTCAGTCCCTGCAGAACGGGAGGAGTGATTATGGACAGAGGCTCTCAGAGCTGGATTAGTGAAATTCATGGCACCTGCATAGGCTGACCTCCGAATAATCATTAAGCTGTAGGCTGTATCAAAGAAGGCATTAAATGATACAGCAGTGAAGAGCGGCAAGATGATTAGGAGGAGGGAGGGAGTGGAGGGATGAAAGTGTAAAACAGAGGAAAGAGCTGGAAGCAAAGAAATCATCAAGGAGCAGAAGCAGAATGATAGAAGAAGGATAATATGAAGGTAAAAGGAAAAGTGAGAAATACATTGGACAGGAGGAACAGGGATGGAGAAAGGGAGAAAACTAAAACAACAGCCATAAGTAGACTACCGAGCACCAGCAACAAAGGAGAGAACAGAGAGGAAGGAAGAGAAAAAAACAGAGTGCAAGTTTTCCTGAAAGAGGAAAAGATGGAGAGAGGCCAGGGAGCCTGGGCACAAGGCACCGGCCTTTAGAAATATCTGCTGTAGGGAGATGGTGATGGCCCAGCCTGGTCCCTAGGAAGAGCGCACCGGACACCTCCTGGTTTCTAGGACAGCCCTGCTTCAGCAGGGAGGGGACAGCTCAGTGTGAGCTTGCTTGCTTCTTCTGCAGTAAAATTATTCTTTAGCCCATGTTTTAGCCCTTGGAACTCTTGCTCAGAATGCCAACCAAGTGGGCTTGAATTCAACAAGGACCCTGATTCTTGTTTTGACTCTTCCAAAGCGAGCCCACCTTCATTCTCCTGGGAACTTGCTTTAAAAGACTGGCCTCTCTGCTACTAACCTTAGGATAAAGTTGAGCAAGTGGAGTTTGAAGTAAAACCAAAGCAAGCCCCTATATATACACATGCTGATGACATAGGTTTAGTGGGGGGTAAGGGATGCTTAAGTTTATCACGAGGTTCCTGCACGCTGCCTTTTTTCATGATGTGGATTGGTGACAACAGTGCAAAATCAGAGGTTGCCTTGAAGAGAACAGCCACTGTAGATCCAAGCAGCTGCCACCTACACTTTAATTCCTACCACAAAATGGACAAGGGGAAAGAAAAGGAAGGGCTGAGACAACCATCTGGGACTGCAGACAGAAGGAAAAGGTCCAGCGCAGTGATGTGCCCTCTCTGCATCCCAGCTCCTCTCCATCCTGTAAGGATGATACTTTCCTGATTTTCATGGCTTTTTCCAAGGTTGCATTTGTTGCCTTTTCTGGGACTGGGCTTCTGGGTGAGGTGGGTATGCTTGTATTAGGCATTAGGCATTAGGCATTAGGCATTAGGCAGTGTGGTTTCTGAGGTAGGTTTAATTTGGTATTTGGTATAGTGGTGTGCCTGTGTGCACATACCCCCACCACTTTTCTGTGGCTGTAAATAGCCCTCTCCAGCTGCATATACAAATGATAGCCACACTGAGCAACTACCATACAAGGATCTCGGATACTACTGTGTGCAAGTGAACGTGACTCTCCTGCTTTCCATACACACTCGCTGAAGCACAGAAGGATTCTCAATATATTTGTGCAGCGCTGGCGTGGCGCTGTGTTCTCTAAATCAAGTTTCACATGTCCCTATGCCACTGAGTTCTTGGGATAAGGACTGCCGGGGTCTGGAACCTTGCTACACATGGCAAAACTTTATCTATGGGAATATTTATTTGTATAGGTGCAGTTATCCCAGGAAGGAGCCTGCAGCCACTGTCCCTGCCCCATATGAGCTCTGGATTCAATAGTGATTGTGCAGACCCAATATTTCCTCATCTGTCCACATGGAAGCTGCATCTGGCTCTGCACTATATGATGCTAGTAAATCAGTACAACACTTGTAGTGATTATTTTGTATACTTTATATAGTTTATTAATGACCACCATGAAAAGAAGACAAGTAGAAATAAATCCTCACAGAAAGAGAATAGCCTGTACAGCAGGAGACCCCAAAATATCAGAGTCAGATCACCATATCCTAGTCCAGAGCTGGTGTGCTCTGGAAATAATAATTATAAAAAAAATCTTGCTATCCTTCTCTTCTTGTCTTATCCTAACATTTGGCAGAGCAAAACAAGAAAGGAGTCTCAGCTAAGATCTTGCAATAGAAACTAGTAATTTTCCAACTTTGTGGAGGAAGGATGAGAGGAGATGAAGTTTAAGAGGGTTTTTTCATGTATGTGTGTGTGTGGGGTTGCATTCAACAAAGGCGCAATTAGACAAAAAAAAGCAAGGCTACCTACCATCTGCTGATGGCAGCAATAAGGGACATAATTAAATGAAAATGCAGAAGCCAGGACAGGGCTGGACGTCGGCTACAAACATGACAATGGGAAGTGTGATTAAGTCAAAGAGAGGAAGAGCGATATAAATTGCCCATTTTATCTTGCAACTGGGACAGGATAAGAATATATGCAGGACCAGTTACTGAACTTCGGCTGATAAGAGGTAACTTCTTAAAACACACACCCCACCCTTGATGGCTCAGAGTTATGTGAATATAAACAAGAAGGAAAGTCAGGGCAGAATGAAGATAGAAAGAGCCACTATTTATGAGCTGAAAGTTACTAGCATATTCATTCATTTTAATTTTCATTATTTTTTTTCTCTCATTAAAGCATTATTGTTTATCTTCTTCCCCCTTCCTGACTTCCCATGAAAGTCAAACCCTATTCCAGAAGTTCTAGTGTGATTCTGAAAGGACAGATATCATTGCGAAGGTTCTTTTCTCCAGCCCTACCGGTTCAAAATATAAGGCACAAGAAGGAAAACTATGTCTTCAAAGGTCACTATCAAGCAGTCTTGCAATCAATTTTAAAATTGGATAATCCAAACTACAGTGAAAAAACATGATGTTCAGTCAGGGCTAATGAGCAAGAGTTAATTTGCATCTAGGGAGAGGAAGAAGCTGATGAGTGTCCCCAAAACAAATATGTGTCTTTGCTATAACTGACACCTGAGCCAATGCAGGAAAAAAAAAAAAAAAAGAAAGAGGGAAAAAAAGAGGGAAAAAATGCAAAACACCAGAACAGATATATTTTTTTCTTTTTTCTTTTTTTCTTTTTTTTTTTTTTTTAAGTTTAAGGAAAGAGGTAGGAATTCACAACATTCCTTTGCAAGCTCACCTCTTAGCCAGCCCTAGCCACTGTGCAGACACCTTTGGGCTTGCTGTGTGGAGCAGTGAGCTATACTGTACAATTTTTATTTTCAGCAGCTGTGAGGCATATTCTTAACAAATGACAAGAATGCTGGGGCCCAGAACAGATTCCCTTCCCCCGGACCTCCTTTGGGTATTATATTTATTTTATATCCAGAGCTTTAAAATACAATTATAGGTGCTCATTCAACAATGAAGCTTTAATAACTAAGGAGTGGTTTCTTTTTTAAACCAACAAACTTGCCTGCAAAGAGGTGTTTTTAAGCAAAAGCAGTGCTGAGCAAATCTATTTAAATTATATATATATTTCTTATATTTCTTTCTCAGCTCTTGCAAAAGGTTATGGAGAATCATCCTAATTATCAAAATCCTTATTCTTACTTTGCTTTAGAAGCACCTCTTCCTCTCCCTGAGGGCAATCAACAGCAGTCCTATTTCTCTCTCTCTTTTTTTTTTTTTTTTACATTGCTTTTGAATATATAATGTAGGCTTACTATTATGTGTATTAAAGAGAGAGAGGCTTGCTTTGCTCTTAATAGACCCTTTCCATCCTTTCAAAGCCACTGGCATGCTTGATAAGCATCTGTCGTTCTGTACAGTAACAATTAGAAAATTAGAGCATTTCCAAGCCCCATGAAAAGAAAGATGAAATGCATACCTTTTCTACTACAAATTTGTCTACCGAGCCCCTCCCCTGACTAGCTGCAAATGCAGAATGACAAATAAGAGAAAAAATGATAATATGCCTGGTGGTGTTGACTTAAACAAATCAAGCACATCAGTCAGTTAAAAAAATAGCTGCCATCATCTATTTCATCGTCCTTCCCCCAGATTTTATAGTATTAGTTGGAGGCTCCTTTTCTGCCTGGTTGGCTTTTTAAAATAGAAGAGAAATGCTGAAGACATATTTATCTGAAAGCTTTGCAGCAGCGTGGTTGGCTGGATACCTGCTAACTGCTGCTTCACTTTGCTGTTGTTGTGGCACAACTCAAAATGCTGTCTGGACATGCCTGTGACTCCTCCACCAGTTGGCTTATTTCTAGCAGCTCGGCCAATTAGGAGATGGGTCAATTTTAGGAAATTCTCCAAAGACTCCCTTTAATAATTGCTTAAACTTAATAGATATTTATCCTCATTCATAGTAACTCTATGAAATCTTTGTCCCACAGCTTGGAAATGCTTGATAATTAAAGAGATCTTAAGCCCTGGAAGAGTGTCCTGTGCTGCATGGTGGCTAAATGGAAACAAAACCTGTTTAGTATCCAGGAGGCAGAATGATAATAGGAGACACCGGTCAGTCAGTTAATTTACTCTGGAGCTTGAACATTGAGATAAATAAAGTGAGTGAAATAGCAATTCCTCTGCAAATGTTAACCTGGCCAGACTAAAAGGAGCTACTGGACAGGGCTGTGAGCAGTCAGCAGGAGGTGACTATTGGATATCTATAGTTACTTTAGTTGTAATGGAAGACCTACTCTATGCATCTGTAATAACATTGCTAGGGTTGCTTAGTGCAGGTTTGCAGGTTCATGCTGTATTGTCTAAGAGAGAGAAGGGCTAGTCCAAGTGAAACCAAGGCTTGTTGAAGCACAACCCGAAAATAAGTATCATGTGCTTTATATTTCCATTAACAGCGAACAGATGCTTAAGGCTTGGCTATAGAATCTGATGTAAGACTTTCTAAAAATGAGATTAATCAGCTTGGCTGTCTGCCATCAACTCTGTAACATCCTTTCAAGGCGCTATGGGATATGTGGGTGCCCTTCGTTTGGGTAGGTATGACCAAACAGGAGAGAGAAAACTGTGCTTGAGTCCATGATAAAGACTACTTAAATCTCCAGCACTCTCAACCTTGTCCCAGATTTTACCATTTGTCCCCAAACCTCCATGTTAGTACATCCTCAAGCCAAACATTGGGCTGTGAGGAGGGTTTATGTTCAAGGCCATGCTCTGCCCCATCAGTCACCCTTCACAGCACACGCTCCTCAATGGCATTTGACGGGTGAAGGTACCTTTCTCTAGGCAGCTGGTGGTTGGGGTTGTGCCGACAGCGGACACTGAGGCCAAAGAGTTTGCGGGCAGTGCGCTGGATCTTCTGGCGCTGGGCTTCCAGGGAGCTCTGCAGGAGCTTGTACCGGTTCTGAAGATCCCAGTCGTTCCCCCAGTGCTGGTGGATGCTCCCAATGGTCAGGAAGTGGTTGCTAGGTAGCCTTTTCATGAAGGATTTGAATTCATCTGGAACACAAAAGCATGTGGAGGAAGAGTGATCTGTACTATAATGAAGTTGCAAAGCTTTTCATTAGCAGAATGGAGGAACAGATGATGTACAAGATGAGTTGTCAAAGGAAGCCGATGTCCATTTACTTACTGGTCTGTCCTTCTTCAGGAAGCCTCCTAATTCCATGTCTGTTACTGCTCCCATGTGGGAAATGAAACCCAAAAAATATTAGGGTGAAACAGTATAGTTAATGTGTACAGGGTGGAGACAAGAAGAGAACAAATTCCCAGGAACACAGGATTATGGTCTAGGGGTTGTGAATAAAAAAAACAGAGAACTGTAATTATTGTCAGTTAAAGAGTTCTTATTTAAATTGTTTTTCAGCTGCTACTAAAATGCCAATTGTCGTTGAAGTCAAAAGATTGTGGCTATGTCATTAAAAGGAAAAAGAAAGACAGCAAAAAGGCTTAAGAAAATCCCCAAAGGAAGTGTTTGCCTTGTGTCGAAATGTCCCACTTTCTCATTTTTTAAAAAGAGCATTCTGATTCTTCATTTGAAGTTAAATGATTTGCTTTATGTAACAATGAAAATAAAATAAGATGGCTTTCAAGTGTAAAAATCAGAATGAAATGTGTCAATTTTAGCAAAAGAAAAATCTAATTGATCCATAAATGTGTTGTTAAATGTTGTTTTGTGATCATTTTATTTCTGCTTGATTTTGTTTGTGAATGAAAAAGCATTATGTAGGGTTTTTCTTTGTGTGTGTGTGTATGAGAAAGATGGAACAGAAAATATGGTACTGCTTCTGTTTAGGACCATCCCTTTTGTCGTAACCAAGATTAGTTTGCTTAAACTCTGATTACCAGACTGGAACATCTTCATAAAGCTGAGGCCAAGCAGGCTGGTCAGTGGTCTAGAGCACATGTCTTAGGAGGACAAGGGGAAAAAGCTGGGCTTGCTTTACTGGGAGGCCAAGGGGCAATTAAATAAGCACCCAAAATTGCTAGAAAGGTATGAAGGAGAAAAGCTCTTGTTATTCAAGTCAGGCGATAAAACAAGGGGAAATACACACAAATTGCAGGTTGAGAAGTGGAAGTTCTTACTGAAGATCTGCTTTAACTTATGTGGCACTGGAACAGAGAGCTGCAGAGAGTTCAAGGAATTTCTCATTTTAGACTCTTCGGGACAAAATGTGAGCTGACCTGATCTAGTATTGGTGATAGTCCCACTGCAACTGTGAGCGTGGATTCAATCCACCCAATAAAAATAATAATTAAAAAAAATTACCCAAGGAGAAATGCAACCATTCTTTTTATTTTTTTCTGATTCTCATTTATATAAGCAATAGAGGACTTTAAAAGGCAGATATCTCTTTAAAAAATCTATAATATAGAAGAATTGGAGAACACTGAAAGAGATAATTTGGAACAAATGGTACAAAGTTCATATACCTGAATTCGTATGATTATATATATTTGCATGAAATACTTCCTACTGTTCAGTGATCTACAATTCATACTTATATGTGCATTAAGATCATTATATGAGTGGGAAAATACAGGTTCATGTCCTACTTGTCACCGCAGTGAAATCAAGCACCTAATAAAAATAATTATCATTGCACTATCAAGATCCATGGGACATCTGCTTGTCTCCTTTCTTCCTCAAAGGCAACAGAGACTTTTTTTTAATCATCTCACAGGCTTTCACTCTGTTTCTAATGTTGCTTTCAGTGCCCTTCTCCTCCCCCAAAATGATTCTCTCCTGCTCAGTGGTCCTCTGAAACTATCATCATATGTAATTGCTTCTGTTGACCATGCTGATTACTTTAGGTACCTTTCAGCAGTAAAAGCCTTGTTTTTGCTTCCCTCCCCTTATAAATCAATTTCCTCAAAAGCCTGTTTGTGCAAAAGACCAAGCTCTTTTCCTTCTGATGATGAATGTGCTACATTTTTCATAGAGATGGGGAAGGGAGAAATTTCAGTGCCGTGTGCGCATTTTGATACTGCAGTGCAACGTTGGCGGGAAAACAAATGAGCAAAGAAATTTGGCAAAATAACAGCTGAAAGGGGTTGTTTTTAAAAAAGGGGCAAAATGTAAGAAAAAAAAAGTATTTCCCAAAAGAGAGTGTCTTCATTATTTATTTATATTTTAGCAATCCCTGAAGACCTCAGCTGAGCTTGCAGCTGCACTGTGCTAAGCCTTGCACCTTTCTGGGAATAGCTCATCCTTGACCTAAGCATTTTCCCGTTAACTACTAGGGCTAGTAGCATTTGTTGCTATTTTATCTATCTGCACAGCAAATAGTGATGATGGCCAGGACTGCACATCCCAGGATGCACCGTGACGCCTGGTTTTGCTGAGTCACTAGGCCCGGGTGGGATGGAGTCCCGTGACAGTGACACAGCATGGGGGGCGGTGCTGGGATGAGGAGGCCAGATCCAGGCCCCGGAGACAAGTTTTTTTTGGCAAGTCAAACATACGGGTTTTGGAGATGTTTTTCCATGGCTCATCTTCAGTCAAAAAAAAAAAAAAAACACCCTCAGAAAAATTAATACTGAATTAAAAGCAAAACAACAACAACAAAAAACCCACACACATGACTTTTAATCAAAAGGTCATTTTAAAATCCAGTCACATTTCTGATGCGTTTTTTTTGGCCAACCATACTAAAATGCCAAGACAGAGTAAAGCAGTGTTATTGTTCTCAATTTACTCAGAAGCAATGAAGCACAGAAGGACTAAGCAAGAGCTCCTGAGCTGATCTAGAACTGCACCAGTTCACTGCAACCTCCTTGACATTGAAGATGCTATCATAAATCATAGCAACTTTTGATTTGCTCCTGCACGTTTTTATAAAATTAACAAATTAACATAGGATTTCAATGCAGATCAGAAACAAAATATAGATCTTTGAGGCTATTAGAAACTTCCTGCACAAATGGTATTTCACAATACTTGTGCCTTCATTCCATTTTATTGGAAAGGCTTTCAGATGTCATTAGAGGTTTATTTTTTTGTTGCTCATTATGAAGAAAATCCTCCAGTCATCTTGAATATTTATTAAAACAAAGAAGCAAAATACTAATACTAGAGTCATCTTTGCAAGCAACTTTCATCCCAAAGGATAGGTTCACGCATCGTGTAACAAAGTGATGAATGAGATACAGCAGCTTTTAACATAAAGATAATCACTCCATCTATTCCTGAAAAGCCTCCAGCCCTGGTGGAATATGGCCACAGTGCAGAAGAGAATTGCACGGCAATGTGTCATTTTAAAATGGCAAATGAAAAACACCCTCCACTGTTGAAATCTCAAGGGAAGTGAAACTGGATATAATTATCTACCACTGTCTTTGCCTAGGTCAACAAGTGCCCAGCGTAACAGTAAAATAATCACTGTTTTTTAGTTGTTGTTGTTTTGTTTTGTTTTTATTTTGGTTTGTTTGTTGGTTTGTTTTACTGATTATTTATTACTCCTGGGACTGGAATTCTTTTCCACTATTGGGCTCTCATCTTCCAAGTGTCTGTCTTAGATCTGCTGAAAATGCAAAGGGGTTTGGTGATTGGTGGCCAAAATGTGAATCTTGAACAGCTTGTATGTGATTATCCTGCCAAAGGTAATTACTAGTAATGCATAACTAGTGTCTGACAGGCACTGCCAGTAATGCTAATCCTATCCTGTGCAGTATATTGAACTAGCAGAGGCTTCTAAAATCCACGTTTCTGGTTTGTATTAGTATAACCATCACAGACCTTTGCGACTTTGTGGAAACATTCAACAAATCCATTGACCTCTTTACTTAGTGAACTAGAAGTCACCGAGGCCAACAACTATCCATTGCATGTGTCTTGTAGCTCTTGACAAGATTGTCACCTTCCTTGTGTCATTGACCACTGCTCAGACTTGACTCACCAACCACCAGGCTGCCAGTGTGATCTAGACATAAAAATCTGTCCAGTGGCGGAAACACCAGCAGGGTTCACAGACTGAAGTAGAGAGCAGTCCTTAGCAGCCTTTGAGAGAACATCGCAGGCCACCTCATTTCAATCATCAAAGAGTTTAAGGTGATCTTCAACATCACCTTAAAAAATAGAAAATTCTAATGGGAAGACTTCCAAAGAAGCAATTTCTTCAAAGCTTTGAAGAGCTAAGTGTTCCCTTCCTATAGTCTTCTTTCATAGCATGGAAACCTAGACAATTTTGACAGTAATTAAAGAAAGTGTGTCGGAAAGGAACTGGCTAACACTAAAAGGTCAGAGGCAAGGCAGGGACAAGTTTTTGATTAAGTCCTGTTTAGTGTCCCTGTGGCTTCTGGGTAGGTAGACCATTTTAAACTGCTTTTTAAAGATAAAGATGCAATTGCACTGATCCTTAAACCCTTGAAATTAGTGTTGCATAAGAAAAATCCACCTACTATGGGCGTTACCAGCATCAAAGAGGAACAAACGCCGCTGAAGCACCCACAATTACACTGGGAGAAGAGAGAGGCAGAAGAGAAATGTTCACACCAATAGACATCAGCACTGTAGGAGAGATAAGTCACTTCCCCTTCTCATCTCTGTCTCAAATGAGGTGTCATCTGGCCTGTGCTCTCTCTCTGTGAATTGCCTTTCACCAAAGCAGCATAAATCATTCATGCAAATCTGAAAAGCAATTTCTACATCATTCATATTGTGGAAGTTTCCCTGGAGGACTATTAAAGAGACATTCTGAGCTGGTTTGGTGTGAAAAATCAGCTTTTTAATAAAACAAATTTTCTCATGTAAGATATCGCCATATAAATAGAATTACAGGTGTGTGTCTGTGTGTGTGTTTATATGTACGTATATATGGCAAGAACAACTGTCCTAGATCATATCTTGGTTGAATATACTTCCACTTTTATGAATATTACAGCATCGTATTGGGGGTAAAAAGATGGGTATAAACCATCATGTTTTGTTTGAAACAAATCAGTAGGGAATTTTGTTTTGCTTGGTTACCTGAATTCTCCAGATCTTTATAGGCTTCTGTCCAGGACTTGGCCATGTTTGCCAGTGTGTACTCCATGATCTGGATGTCGGTGATGGGGCAGTTGCACTGCGGGAATTCCTCAGCACACTGACAGCCGCACTGGCTGTTCCGGCAGATGTATTCCCCCTCTCCGTTGCACATGATGTAGCTCAAGGCAGACTGGACAAACTTCTCTTGTAAGTACTGAGGAAAGATGAGCTGGAGACCTAGCATAGAAACAACAATAGAAGGCAACGGTGTGAAAAAATAAAATAAATAAAATAAAATAAAATAAAATAAAATAAAATAAAATGAAGAATTAAGTGGCAGTTCCATGGGATTTGTTTGTTTGTTTGTTTGTTTGTTTCAGAATCTGTTTCATTAAGCGCTTGGGAAAGTGATAGGAACTGAGGCTGCGAGGAGTTTTATACTGGAGCAGTCATGAGTAAGGAAGATGAGACACAAATTTTAAGCTCCAGTACAGAAAAATGGATGAGCTGAGATCAGAGCCTGTCTGCTCTATGAGAGAAGGGTGATATAAGTAACTTCCTTCTCCCTGGTTTCCAGTGTCCCCACTTTATCCCAGTCCTGGATCCCACTAAAGCGTAAAGCACATGGATACAAAGTCTCCTTCATTCCCAGGTGGATCTTTTATATTTTGCAAGCAAGCACTAGGTTGGCGATGATCATTATGCTGTTCAGACCTGTTTTGAGAGAGACTAAACAGTTTCGGTACTACAGAAACAAAAACAAAACAACAACAACAACAACAAAAATACCTATGCCCTGACAGAGTAAACAAGATGAAATAAAAAAAAAAAAAAGAGAGAGAAGAAAGACAAATAATAGGCGAGATATTTATAAAAGTGTCTTGCAGAGTTAAGTGCTCAGTTCCCGCAGAATAAATGCAGGAGTTGGGTACGTGAGTCTTTTTAGCTCATTCCCTGCTAGGAGGGCTACTTGCCAAGCCCTATAAAAGTGCAAATGGGTTTAGTGCCAATGATTTCAGTGGTGGTCTGAAGATTTACATTAGCTAAGAGGTCTGTCCCAATCTCTCTCTCTCTCTCCATAGTGTTTGGGTATCCATCTGACTGTATAGGCACTAGTGTAGGTATATGCGTGCTTAGGTAGCAGAGAATACACTAACATTTGAAGCGTTTGCCCTATATGTAGCACACGTATTTTGCAGCACTGCCTCCTCCAGCCCCCATCTCTGGGCTCCCTACAGACAGCCCTAGGGCCCTGTAGGATCCACAGCTGTTTCCTTGCACCTGATAAGTTCTGCTTGTCAGACTCCGTCAGCGTCTCGAGTGCACCGGGCAGAGAGAAGGAAAACTCAGAGTGAACCTTTCATGAGCAGCCCGGCCTGCTCGCCTGCCTTGTAAAAGGCCCAGGGATTCTGGAGTGGCAGATAAAGGGGTTTATGGCTTGAACAGGCGTGCTGAACTCCAGTGTAATGAAGGCACACGGGTCAATTACCCATCTGTTTGTGTTGCTATTGTGCTGAATTACTGTATCCGTTGCTGACAGCTTGTCGGAGTGGAATGAAAATAAGACAATAATTCAGAGGATGAGCCTGTGCAGAAAGGGCAGAGAGGGCTTTGAGTCCGTTTAGGAGTTCAGGCCCTTCTCTGTGGTGGGTCATGTTCACCCCAGGCAAGAGAGGGGCTGTGGGTAATGCCCCAGAGACCCACATTACCCTCTTGCTCTTGGTTCTACAGAGATGCTCCAACCTTGCCAAGGTCCTTGGGAGACCAAGTATGGGGGGAACATCAGGTCAGGGAAGGCATGAGGGACCTCAGCTTCTTCTCCCCTGCTGCTGGTGCTCAGGCCATGGTTCATGTGAACGTCATTCCCAGCGGCTGCGAGCTGCCCTCGTGTCTGACCCAATTCACAGCAAAGTGCAGAGCGGTGGCAGTTGCCAGGCAGAATAAACTCACTGCAGTGTTTGGCTGAAGAAGATGTTTGCGACATGTAGCCATGGCAGGATTTCAGGCCTGGTGTCTGGAGGAGGTCTAGCTCCTGCTGAGTGAGGCTGGGAGGAAGGGGAGAACATGCAAGGAGCCTACTACCATTTAGAGCATCCCTGCACACACCTCAGGGCCTCTCTGAAGAGAATGAAGGTCCAAACCTTCAGACTGAGATTAGATAACGTCTACACCATCCAGGCTCCAAAACTTTTCCTCACTTTTCTTCAGCATGGCAACAAAATGCCATGCTCTTGGAGAATGGTGATCTACGGAAGGAGCAGCCTGAATGCTGCTACTCACTGAGGGCCTGACCTCCTTGATGTGCACTAACCCTATTTATGCATGGTCCAGGTCCCATGAATAAATCTTTGCACTGCCTGCTTCCTGAGAGAGTAGCCTGACCTGGTCCCAATGCTTGAATGAGAGGCCCAGATGCTCACAAGCTCTTAGCTCCCCATAATTTCCCTGTGATATTTAACTTGAACAATAGCTCCAAAATGCTGTCAGATCTTTTATTATTATTATTATTATTATTATTATTATTATTATTATTGGGAGAGGGTTAAAAGAGGGCAAAATAAATCTGTAGGAAATGCACTTGTTACTGACACAGCCAGGCTTCTGTACCCCAGTATACTCTCACGTGGGGTGTGCAGCTTCATGCACATGTCTATAGGCTCCAGGCATATCTATAGGACAGTCATGTGCTCTATGATGCCTCCTTGCCTGTTCACAGGGCCATACACTGCACGTCCCAGTACATGTAGAAACCTAAATATCCTGTAACTGCCAAAATAAAATCTGGTCCCATGTGACACTGCAAGGTGCCTCCTGCAGGTTGCTTTTTCTTTCATAAAGCTCATGGTTTCTAAAAAAAATCTTTCCAAGAAAACCCTCTCTTGTGGAAACCACTTCATGTTCACATGGCAGCATAAAAGACTGTTTAAGTGTTAATCAGGCCTGCTGTATATTTAGCCCCAATTCAGCAAAATACTTATAGAAATACTTTAAACAGATAAGCAAAATCCATGCAGCTAATTGGAGCATTTAACAAGAAGCACATATTCAAACATGGCTTAGGCCAAGAACACAAGTGTTACACACAAATCCAGCTACTCATCAGAACATAAGGGTATATACAGCAATCACAGAATCAGGACTTCAAAACTGCAAATATGCTGCAGGAATTGAATTTTATTCATAGTTCTTCCAGCTAGGAGTTTCCTTGCATAAGAAATCAGTGTTAGGGTTACTGAAATACAGCCTTTGATGCACACATAAATATCCATGCACACCCAGACACAGATATACTCATATCAATGGTTTTATATCAAACATCCTTGTAACCAGATCCTAGCAAGGTATGAAAACTGTCCAGACTGCTGGCATCACATCCAACCCAGATACCCTCCTCCATCATTCATCTGTATTTCTGCATCATGCTCAGTGGCTAAAAATTGCTGAAAGTGAGTTGATTAAAGCTGTCAGTAAAACACATGTGTGAATAACCATTTTCAAGATAAACTTTATAAATGAGAGGGAGTAGTAAAGCCATAATTGCTGAGATCACTTCTCCGAGTGCCTCAGTTGCTATTTTAAAGCAGAAAAGCCATAGTCCTGAGGATGGTCACAGCATCCTAGCTTCATGGAGCACCTGGTACCCAACTGTCCGCACAAGCTAGCTAGGGAAGCCCTGCTGCCCTCTGCATCCTTAGACCTCATGTTGCTCTTTCATGTTCTAAGAATTTTCTTCAATTATTGTGAACATAACTGTTTCTTTTTAATCATTCAGTGTTTTCTACAGACGTGGTCCTAAAGACTAGGTCTGTAGCTGGTCTTGCTAGACCATTTTGGTAAGCGGGAACAAATCAGTCCAACCCAGGGCACATAAGGTTCCTCCTCCTCCACTGCTGGCTCAGGAGCTGCTAACACGTGTGGAAGGCATGCTTTCTGGTGTCTGCTGTTAGGCAGAATATATTAGTTTTCAAGGAACCTGGCTGATCAGAAGGAGAAATTCTGCTACGTTGAAGTGTAAAGTTCCTCTTTAAAAATTAAGAAGAGAACAGATTCAGTGTAGGTTTGGCTTAGATAACTACAGAGAAATTACAGAGGTTTTGACAAGGGAATGTGTCCTTAATTCACCTAGAAAAACTATTAGAGAGAAATGTTTGGCTTTGGACTGTATATAAAAGGCTTCCTGCATTAAAAGAGGAAATTTCTCCAGCTCTAAATTAGAGCTATTTGAAACATTTTCCATAGAAGAGTTCTCTGTTGAAAATGCAGTTTCATTGAAGCATTCTGTGAGAAAATGTTGACTCCAAAAGCACTTTTGACAGGGTAAGGTCTAAATGCATTTTTCATACTTCCTCATTTTGTTTCACCATTATGTTTTGCGTTGTCATTCTGCCCAGTTATGTGAAGACTTTAATATTAATTTTGATGTGAATTTTAATATTCTATTACCAAAGTTTATGTAACAACCAGCCTAGTAGACAGTATGTCCTGTTTAACATTGCAATGTTCATAATAGCAGAGAAGGATTTTACCTTATTGAAACAGTGCCATGTTACAATATTGGCACAAAATGTTCGACTTCCTAACAGGACTTATCTCTGGAATTTTAATTTCCCAGAACATTTCAGAATGCCTTTTTTTCACCCAAATTTTAAAATCCCAGCCCAGGAGTCTTTTCCAGGAAAAAGGAATTCCTGTTTCCCAAGGGTTTACCATAGAGATGTTTGCATTATCCCCTTCCCAAGCCCTGGCTTCTTCCTCTCTTAGGCAGCACAGGCAGTTTGTGCGTCAGCCGTAGCAGACAGTGAGGCAGGTGGGAGGGATGGCACCGTGACAGCTATAGGGATAAGAGGATATGGAGTGAGCAGAGATGCCCATGAGATCCTGGCACCCAAAAGAATACCTCCACGCATTTGAGGAGAGCGGCATGAGCATCTCTTGTGCACAGGACTGGCAAACCTACCACCTGCAAGTGCTAGGGAAAGGGCAAAACCTTCTGTGCTACGGTGATAAATACACCTCTATCCGAACGCAGCACTGATCTGGACATACATGTATGTCAGGCCCACATGGATTTTCCTTCATGAACTAGTGATTCTGACCAGTCCAGGCCACCACCAGCCACTCTGCACTTTGCATAAATTCAGTTCCAAGGCTAGATTTCAGAGCTGGCTGAGCTACCTAAACCCTACACACATGCATGAAGATAGCTTGGCTCTGGGTCTGGCCATGACATCTCCAATAGGGCATGACTTTGAAAACCAGCAGCTGGGCTGGTGCGAGCTAGCACAGAAGCAGAAATTCTCCCTGTCATGAAGATGCTGCTCTTTTACTGAGCTGGCCTCCCAGATAGAGTGACATGAGGGTAGCAACATGGATTTCTGTCAGCAGCTCATGCTCAGCTGCTAATCAGATGAGAGGAGACTCAGTCACGATCCATTACCTGCAGCCCTGTGACTAATTCCTAATGAGGTCTCTCAGAGCAGCGGGAGGATCCTGGGTAATTATCCCAAGAACCTCACTCCAGATTAGCTGGAAAACACTCAGATGGAGCTTGAAAGGTCACTTTGTTCTAGTAGGAAAAGCTCTCACCTTTCCCTCTTGTTTGCTGTCTTCCTTTGCTCAGGTCTGGTCTGCCTTTGTCCCATGTTATCCCATGAAATCCACATGTGTTTGATCTCAGAGGACCCATGGATGACATCTCCTTCTCTTCCCTTAAATATTCTTCCAGCTCCTTTCCTCTCCCAGCCACTTTTTTACTTCTTTTCTTTAGCATCACATAACCAATAGAGATCTATTCATTAACTTTCCAGTTTTTCCACCTATAGATCAAGCTACTTGTCGGTGTACCTATTTACCTGATGTGTCATCCTCAGGTTTTTTATAACACCAGCCATCATCACAGTATATAAAAAGCCTCAATTTGTTTATTGCTAATTAGGGAAGCACCAGAATTCAGTGATTTAGATAATCACTGAATAGTAAAGGCAACCTGCCTATTATTTTTAAAGGCAAATGATAACAATAATAATAATATCCCCCCAACATGATTCAGTAAATGAAACCCAGTTTCTGTGAAGCCAAGATTAAAACAGTACTTGCCAAATTATACTCAAAGCGGAAGATGTAATATAGCCCATTCATCTGAAAAATTAAAATTTGTGCAAGTACGAGGATTCCAGAAATAAAACCATCTGGGCAAATGAGCAATTAAATTCCACATTCCCTAAAAAAAAAAAAAAAAAAGCTTGGGAATAACCTTAGTAAATTACATGCCCAGTGAACTTTCTCCTTCTACTGAAGCTGACTCCTTGCTAACTAGCATGTATTTATTTATCAGTTCAGTTATGACCTCTATCTGTTGCCTTCTGGACCAGCTCCCCAACCGGGACCAAAGCCATGGCTTCTAGCCTCCAAATAAAACCTCTGTGACTTTTCCCAAATTTTATGTTCATTAGAGAGTCCCAAAAGCTGATATGCAAACCTCTTACGCAAATCGGCTGTTTGGGAGGGACAGAGAGGCATGGACACTACATCCCTTCAATATTAATGGATATCAATATGTCTGGATAATATACAGGAGTCAAAAGCCCATCAAAATTTGAGGGCAGCTGGGCACCCGATGCACTTAGGCAATTCCTTAGGCTCCATTCTCCAGCTTCATGTGCCTTTAGCTTAGCCCCTGTCACAAGCATGAACATGTTGCACCAGCCACTATACGAAGCCACAGGACACCACCAGTCCTGCATCAGGGAACTTGCAACACAAAAGATGATAATAGCAAACAGGAGAGAAAAAGGCTAGAAACAAGACAATCCCTCTCTCCATTTTCTTCCCAAATCCCCTTATTGCCACTTCCCTCTCTGCTGTTCCCTACCTTGCAGGTGGAGTTTGCTCTCAGTGCTTTGCAGAAGGACAGAACTCACAGAGTCCAGATTGTCATAGCTGTTACAACCCAGAGGGCCAGTCCGAGTTTCTGTTACCTAAAGCAGGAGGTAGAAAAAGAGAGAAAGGCTTGTTCCTTTTGTTTGAAGCATTGCATCTTCCTCCTGCAGGCTCAGACGTTGTGATATCATGACCTATCACAACCAGAGAACACAATCCAAAATACAATTTACACAGCTGAGAAAATGTATCCCTCACTGGACAACCATGGCTAATGCTTACTACTCACAAAAGCTGGATAAAAAGAGAGAATTGTGCCTGCTTTCTTTATGGTACTGTATGTTATTCTGAGATTGGCAAAGGGAGCCTGCAGATTGATGTTTCTCATAGAGGATCTCCACTGGAGAACACCAGAAGCCAGCAGAGAAATTATTTGCTAGCTTGTGTTGTTGGAAAACAGGAAGAAGAAACAGGCTGTCAACCAGCGATGGTGCCTAGTGTTCTCATGACATACGTGCACACCATCATGCTAAGGATACACTGAGATGCACATGACCTACAATATCACCACGGTGGTTGTAGCTATTTCTAGCCTTGGAGGAGAGTTGCCCTTCCTGAATTCACAGGGAGTGATTATCTGCTGTCACTGTTTCAATATCTCAATCCAATTTCCCATCCAGGAGGGAACAGACTCAGCCATGAGACACCACAGCACAATAACAGAAGCTGAAACCTTTCAGAAATGGCTAACAATGATGACTCCATCCACATCATTTCCCTGGAGTGAACTCTGGGACAATAAAATCCCTCCCTAGTATAGGATGATTGCTTTCAGGGAAGGCAGCCTTTGTCTGCAGAGCCATTTTCCTTATTTTGTTTGCTCTGAACAGCCCCCCTCCTTCCCGCTCCAGTCCCTGAGATGTCTCTCAATCCATTTCATTCTACATGCTTTGGTAATGGCACACTCTGGGTTTTCCACCTTTCCTTGTAGTTAATTTGTCTGACAGGCTGCCCAGAGAGGTTGCGGAGTCTCCTTCTCTGGAGATCTTCAAAACCTGTCTGGTTGCCACCCTGTGCCATACGCTCTAAAGGTCCCTGCTTGAGCACGGGGGTTGGACTAGGTGATCTCTAGAGGTCTCTTTCAACCTCAACCATTCTGGGATTCTGTGAGATATGCTTAGCAGAATTTGCTATAACTCCAAGAGGAAAATACTTCCAGGCTACATGGGTTTGGCCACTTTACACAACTGCTTCTCCTTTCGAAACCTCATTTCTAATCTAGAATATCTGTTCCCTCTCTTCCTACATGTGCTCGTGGCCTTCCAGAGGTCAGAAAGCTTCAGTAGAAGAAAATCTGCATCAGCAGAAAGTTTCTCTCCCATATAATCATCATTATCAATGACCATCTTCTCTACCAACTTTACTGGTCAGGGAGAGATCGCTTCTTCATTAAGGACCATAAAAGAACAAATCAACCAAAGGAAACCAGTGCAGAGCATCTTATTGCAATCAGGAAATATGTTATACTGGAATGGTGAAGCACTTCCCCGTATCCCTATAGTAGCGATATAAAAACACCATCCTCTTTTTCCTCCTGTGGCAAGACACCGTACCTTGATTGCTCCGGTAGAGATCTGGATCTCATGGAGTCTCCTCATGGTGCCATCACGGTCTACAAAGTAGGAGGAAGCAAGCTGGTGCAATGCTTCGACACTCTGGGTAGCGTTTCCTGACTTTCTGTCGAGTCGGCTTTTGTCCATATACATGGTCAAGGCCTCCTCTCCTGCAGCAGAAAGAAAAGGAGCTGTGAGTGGTGCCCAAAGGCTGCCGTGGAGGGTGACCTCGACAGAATTGCATGATATCTCGTGTTGCATATGAAGACAAATCCCTAAAAGTAAAACTTTCTTAAATGAATCCATCTTTCCTCTATAGGGCCTCTATAGGGCCAGTGCCGTATAAATGAGCCTTCTCTATTCAGAAGAGACTAGATCCACCACAGATGTAGATCAGCTCCACTGAACTCAGTAAATAACATTTCAGGCGGTTGTTAGTCACTGCAGCTATAGCACAACTGCTGGAATAGACTCAGACTGGAAAAATGCTTTTCTCCGTGGGCAGTACATCTACGATGACGCACACCTAACGGGAGCAGATGCCACTCTTATGCAAGTCTCTGACCTGATTTATAGAAGGAATAAATGATGATTTAAGTTGCAAATAGGACATAAGCATGTAGGAGAGTGCAGAGGACAAACAATTGCTAATTGCACCTCTTTGGCTCCCAGTGGCCATGCAAAAGAGTAAGTGGGCGAGTAAGGGGGAACAAACAGATGAAAGAGCAAATGAGAAAACTGAGCTAAGCCACTTCATTTTCTCTCCTAGAACCAAATTCAGTGAATTTAAGCAGAAAGTGGAAGGTAAGAAACAACAGGTTAATCTGAGCTGGTAACCATGGAGCCCAGGAGGGAAGTTAGGGTCCCAATAGCACTAGACATCCTGAACATTAGCAGAAACCTGAACAAAAAGAAACATACATGAAAAGGGCAAAAGTTTAGAAGTAATATTACTTAAAAGTTCAATTTGTGCTGTATGAACTAGATTAAAATCCAGTCTGTTTTTAACAAAAAGTAGTTTTTATAGAGTTGAAAGGAGTAAAGATAGAAAATTGTCCTGCTTCTCTAACATTTGTAGCTTGATTTTAATAAATGAGCAGAATAGACACTTAGGGTAGGAATGTGCCATGTCTACATAGCTCTCTTAATGAGAAAAATGGTGCTTGTTCTGATTTCATAGATGAAGCGCTGATGAATACATTGCCACTGGCAGTACTAGCATGGTCAAAAAATTCATCACCACTTTTTAGTCCAAGAAATATTTCGCTCTTCAGCAGTTTTTATGGAGAACGAGCACTTACTTTTTTTTTTAAAAAAAAAATCTGATTAGTTGAAATCATTTGATTTGTTCAAATAATTTCTTTTATTTCATACATGAAAAAAAAACAAAAACAAACAAAAAAACCCAGTAACCCTTCTCCCCTTTCCCTGGAATTTTTCCAGCTTTTATCTAGAAGCCAAGTAACTGAAAACAAAACAAAAATACTCTGGCTGAAAATCAAAATACTTTCATTAGATTTTAGCTTTTCAAGCAACTGATATATTGACGATTAAATCTTTTGCTTTGAGACGAAAAATGCAATTTTTTTGCTGGAAATATTTTTTTTTCAGGAAAAGATCAATGAAATCCTTTAACTGGTTCCAAGGAAGCTAGATGGAAAAGTTTTTTTACGTAAAACTTTATAGCTTTAATATTTTGTCGAAAGCAACATACATACTTTTTTTTTAACCACGATCAAAGTCACAGTAGTTACAGTATCATCATTACTAGTGCTCACAAGAGCACTTTTCCTGGAAAATTACCAGCTTTTATTTCCTTTCCCATGTTAACATTATTATTCACGGAGCAGCATGGAGAGTCCTTGGCAGAGATCAGGGCTCTGTCATTTCAGGCTGTACCCACACAAATAGCAGAAAGATGGTTCTTGTCCCAAAGGATTTAAAACCTAAGTATCTGCTGAGACACAACAGGTTTGTACAGCCAACAGACGGGGAAGCACAAGGTAATGAGATGACTGTGATTAGTTAGAGAAGTGGCGGTCACAGTGCACCAGATGCCTGGCCACTGATCACGTTTTTTTCAGGTCTCATCACTGAGGTAAATTTGAGAGAGACTTGAAGGAAGGTCAGACTCTGAGTTTACAGCAGATGTAAAAGGGGCTTTGCCTCCATTTCAGGAGGCTGGGAAAGGAAAGAGAAGATCTGCAATAAGTCTCCCTAGCAGCAATTCTCAAAGAAACCCCTGGGATCCAGATGTCAATTCTTTTTCAATCCCACCAGTAATTGAGGTAAAAATAAAAAAAAAAAAAAAAGAAAAAAGAAAAAAAAAAGCTTTTTGTTGTTGTTTTTCCCCCTGGAAAATAACACTACCTTCTTTTTAATGCTTTCTTTTTAATAGCCTTGGCACAAAATTCAACACTGTTTTAGTCCAGACTCTAGCTCATTGGTAGCTAGCGGAATGCTGAGATTGGAGATCACTTGGAGAGGAAGCAACCAGGAAGCCTGGGTTGAATGTCCATCAGGGAAAGCCCTCAGATGGTAACGAAGGCTACAAATCAGCAGGAGATTCACAGTTAACCTTGGGTGCCTAGACAGGAGGAGGCAGGCAAGGAACCTCTAGGCATTTGAGAGCTTTAGGGCAGCAATACATTCTCCCCACAAAAGCTGTCATTTTTTCCTCCCTTAGGTGTTTGGACCTCTCCACAGGGGAGGAAGAGGAAGAAAAAAGGAGAAGAAAGAAAAGCCTGCGAGGTTTGATATTTCTCCTGAGGGATAAATACTGCCTCTGCGAGTGAAGGGGGCTGCACGGAGATGCTATTTGCTGAAGATCTATTCTGTGTACATGAGCACAGACTAGGAAAAGTACAGCATCCCCATGGAGAGTGCACGTGAGAAAGCAACCCTTAGATCAAGAGAGGTTAATAGACTTTTGCTGCATTATTAAGTCTTAATTTCTCGTTTATTAAGCTGATACTATGTTCAAAGTTGTCTTTCCTTCAGGGCTTTCCCTGCAAATTGGCTCTCAGCTCTGTGCACTACATCATGGAGCATGGATGCCCTCAAAACGACCCTTCACCAATCTCTTTGTCAGAACTAAACTGGAGCAGATCTATCTCTTTATTAGGCTCGGAGGGTAGGGGGAAATAAGGAGAAGGGGGGGAACCTGCCTTCTCTGCAGCTCAAAAGCATCAGAATCGTTCCTTATGTGACCAGATGTGAGAATAGCTGCTGTGCTCAGCTTTGGGTTGGTCTGATCCAGCACTCGGCCTCCTGGAGTCCATGCAACCACTGGCATTTAAAAGCAAAGAAGTTTCTTATACATTTGCTACTCATTTGCAACCTAACAAGACAACGGGCTGAGCTACGGATCACTGTAATCCCAAGCAGAATTTTTGTAACTTTTCTGAGAAAACCTGAGGTCTTGAGAGAGCAAGGGTGACAGCATCTCCCAGGAGATGTCTCGTTTGATATCACAGTGGTCTTGCTTAGCGCAAAAACTCTGATTACTGAGTGTCCTCATTGCATAATGCATGCTCAGATTCATCTGCATCTTCTTTTGGATTGCTGCTGCTGAGATAAATCCTTTCTTTCTCTCCCATCATTGCTTACCATGCTCTGGGCTGATAGTGCATTCAGCACTCCTCTCCAACACTGGTTCTCGTTACAAGCCTCTGCATATTTAAAATTGTTGTGTTGTAAAATCAGGAGAAGAAACAAGCCACTGTGAATAATTCACAACCTCACCCAGGCAAAATTAAAAATATATTTCACCATCGAAGGTCTTTCTTATTTTGGAATTTCCAGGGATGCGAAAAGCAAAAAACATCAATAGAAAAAGAGACAGAAAAAAAAAGTAAACCCACAAACAAAACTCTCAATCTCACTGGTTTCTTACTTGACTGGTTTGGGCTGTGTAAAATTTAGCCTTGAGGAGTTATTTCCTCAATAGACAGGAGTTTATCTCTACATGGATTTCTTTAAGGACTGATACATGTAGTCACTCATGCTCTTCAGTGCATGGAAACCTGTGCTTTTACAATTCTTGCTGATGGAGTGGACAGATTTGAGTGGGTGGACTGAAACTAAAGCCTCAGGTTCTTTGAAGGATGCTTGCAGCAAGAAAGACCATTTGACTTCAGTGGATCCATGCCAACTTACCTACCGCCTGATTTGTGCATGAATCATATGCACACATCTCATCTCATCTCTGTCTCATCTGATTGTCTGCAGAATGTTCAGGGAACAGACAGATGGCCAAAAATTCCTCAAAGTTCACTACAGACTTCACAATCACTGCTCCATGTGGCAAGGCTGGAAGCCGGATACAGTATGAGAAGCAATAGCAACAAACCTTGTACTGAGAATTAGATCCTTTATCATTGAAGTATCTTTTCTAAAGATAGCAGTTTTTAATAAAAAAAAGCATTTAAATGCACATCCCAAAAGACCAATAAAAAATACAAGAGAAAGAAAATCAACAGGAAGTTTCAAGAAGAGCTGCTGATTTTCACCCCTCTTGTGTGCAGTACTTCTAATACTTGAAAGGTTTATGCAGCACCAGTGCATACATGTGAGTTGCTGGTGCTACAGTTCTCTGTCTTGGGCCATCCCTGACATTCTGCCCCCCCCCCCACAAGCTTCTTTGCAGTCCTTGTGTGAACATTTTGCATTTAATTTTTTTTTGTAAGTCTAGTCCACGTTTCTGCTTTCACTTCTGCATTCAGCAGAGGCTTTTCTCCTTGAACTCCTTTTTCCCTGGAGCTCTTTCAAATCCATTGAGAAAGGACACTTTGCTCCCTGTATTTATTTATGATCAGAAAAAGAGGGATCAACTACAATACATTCTCAAAGTAAGCATAGGGGTATCAAAATTCATAGAGAGACCCAGCTGGCAGACAGAGCATGTTTATCTTGACCTACGTGGATACACAGTGTTGTCAAAGGAGCACGAGTGTGCTCATATCACAAAGGCAGCGCTCCCATGCACTGCGCTCCAAATTCATTTGCAAAGGCTGTTTATGCTCTTGGGATTTCCATACTGTCTGCATAAGAGAGGGGCTGCAACGGGGATGCTGGGGCCATCCTCCATCTGGAAGGTTTGCAGATGCTGCCCTGCACCCTCTCACCCCACCACTGACACCAATGGAATAAAACGGGCCAATGTGCAACCTACCTCCCAGGGTGGCGGAGATGAGGATGTGGGTGCCGTACTTTTTGATGATGGTCTCAATGAACTGCTGCGTGGTGGGTCTCCTGCCCAGGAGGCGGATGCTCCGCTGGAATTCGGGCATCAGGGGCAGTGGGTTGTGGAGCAGGTCCCTCC